CCTCGTGCGCCGCCGCGGGCAGGATGCGCGAACTTGCATTTCGAGCCGTAGCTGCAGCGGCCTTGAAGATGAAATTTACAGACACCTTGAGATCGCTCAGACATGTGTGTGTGTGCGGTTCTGAGGAATCCTTGAGCGGAGAGAGGTGCTGCGAGATGAGGGTCAGAGAGAAAAGTGGTCGACAGAGGATACAAGGTTTCAGCGTCCTAAATACCTACCTCGTGTTTTCAATGTATGCAATTGTTTGGGCTTCGAGCATCCTGCCAGCTACCAGATCTGGCCTCATAAAGCCCTTCAGGACCTTTTTAAGGACGACTAGTCGACAAAGAGGGCGATTGCTACTACATCGGAACCTGCAGCTGTACCAGCATCAGAACTGTTCGATAGAATAATAGTACGCACTTACTTGGACCAGTCATCCCAAGATACCATGAAGCATTCTGAGAACTGCCGGGAGCACAGACAGCGATGACAGTGTGCCGTGGTTGTCAACATAGCAACATTCATGATATTGAAGCGTTTTGGCAACCATGACGGGAACTTCTGATAAACCCCAGCTGCATATGGTAATAAGAGATGAAGAGATAAGATAAGAAGATAATAAAACGGTTGGCTAAATTTGCGGCAGCTTGGGCCGATTAGCGATTACAGTATCATCAGTGACGTTATTGTAAGCTCATCCATAACGACCGGACATGGTTGGCGAGTCTAACGTTATCCTACTTCAGCTGTTCACCTTACAAGTTGTTTCATATAGCTGCTTTCCGGTCCTTGGCTGTGGTGCTTGTTGAAGCGCTGACGTCATGACGTCCTCCACGAGTATAATCTGACCCCCGAGAGTGAACTTTCGAGTAGAATGAGATGTGCACATAAGTGCACGACAGGTTCATAATGAGTGGGGATTGTCAACATCCGACGAAGAAGATTACAAAACGCGAGATGTGCTCGTCTACACACCGACCAAACACACACATTAAGGGTAGAGCTGCCGATTCAACAAACATGCAAAGGTGACAACAAACAAAGGCGACATAGACATAAAATAATGAAGATGAGATGAGGAGTCCGTCAGAGATAGAATGAGCGAATGGTGGTGATCGGTCACGACGCATGACAACGTGTGTTCGCAATGGAAACCCATCCTTAGCCTCAAAGTGCTTTAAGAGTGGTTTTGTGCAAAAGACGGAGACGGCGGCAAACGCCTTCCCGCCCTCTCTGAATCTTATTGCCGGACGGCGGCCTCAGCATGCTCGTGGTGCTCCACCTCACCCGCCACGTCAAGCTTGCGCAGCGCAGCCGTGACGATGAGCACGGGCCGCTTCGTCTCCTCGCGCTCGCGGAGGGCGTGCGCGAAGGCATTCATAGGTGAGAGCGGTGCATACGGCGTTTGCGGGGATGCGCTGGACGAGGACGATGCCGAAGAGCAGGACCCGGAGGAGCTCGATGAAGAGGACGAGGGTGGGAGCGACGGGTAGCTGTCGCGCAGGACGGGCTTGATGGCGTCGGAGAAGCGCAGCGGGGTCACACTGCGCGAGATGCTGGGCTGGTCGTCGAGGGAATTTTCAGCGGTGGTACCAGACAGGGGGAGAGCGATGCCAAAGTCGCGCGCGAGCTCGGCCAGGAAGGTCTCGTACTTGTCGTGCGGCAGCGCATACGGGTTCTCGTGCACGTACGACCTGTGACGGGGCAACCGGTCAGCTACCACAGCCGCGCATACAGAAACCCTAACCACGAGACGTACCGCATCCTATACAGCTGGCGCTCTGCCTCATGCAGATGCACCTCAGCTTGGACCTCATCCTCGCAGAACGCGAGCCGCTGCAGGAGCCGCACGAACGACGCGCGCGCCCACAGCTCGGTCTTCGCCGGCAACCTGCCCTTGCGCCCGCAGATGCCTGACAGGCGGCTCGCACGTGGGGAGTCGAGCGCCGCGCACGGGCTCAGCGGGGCGCCGTACGCGAACATGGGCGATGCGGGGGCGATGAAGGGCGTCGGCCTCGGGGAGACATAGAGACCTAGAGCGCTTCCTGACGGCTCGGCAGCAGGTGTACCCGTCGGGGACGGCGAATTGCCGCGCGAGCGGGTAACGGCGTCGTACAGCGCAAATGCACGCGTGAAGAGCGCGAGTGCCTCGTCGTCGCGCGTCGAGCTCGACGCGTAGTTCGCAGTCGGGAGGCTGTGTGGCGCGTATTCGTGGTGGAAGGAGCTCGTAGAGGAGGTACTGGGGGTCAGGAGGCCGAGGGGCGCGAGTGAGGTCGTTTGCGACTGCAGTGTTGGGGCGGAGGCCGCCAGCGCGGCCGCGAGGTGGAGCAATGCTGTGACTTCGAGGACGTGCGTCGAATCAGATTTGACCGAGGACGAGTCGAGCAGATAGCGCAGGTATGGCTCCGCAGAGGAGATCAAGGATGGCTTCGAACTCTTGAAGAAAGAAAAAAAAGGTTAGTGATCAACACCGGTCCCCACGACCCTCTAGGCCGCGGCGAAAGAAGGGCGAACCTTGAGGAACATAACGAGCTGCCAATAGCACTTCTCTAGACAAATGCCAAGCTTCCTGCCAATCACCTCCGGGTCCTCGTCCTCGTCGTCGATGATGCCGAGATCGCGCCGCTGGTCGTCGGTACCATACTGGATCTCGTGGATGTAGTCTTGTAACGAGTCAATGGCTTGCTGTTGCTGCGAAGATGTGAGGGTGTCCTCAAACATAGTGCGAAAGTGGGAGCTAAGGAGATTGCCAGGCATTTTGGTGGCTCCGGGGTGGGTCACTAGCAGGTTAGTTCGAATGTTGGGGTGTTCGTAGCGACCTTTTTGAGGGGAAAACTACAGGAAACAGGATAGGACAGTCGTTGTAGGAGTAAGTAGCGGAAGATTAAAGAGTTCAAATGAAGGACGAGGGGTATAAGAGAGGAGCCATCCGTTTGCATCCGTATGCGTCGCGAGCACCGGGCTTTACGCGCAAAGGATCAGAAGATTGCCTCGGCAAGTTAAGCGCCGCCACAAAGGTCCGACGGCTCCCGACACTGCTGATGCGCTTCTCCTTTTTTAGACCTGCGCTCCCCCGCCATTTCTGCTCCCAGCTCCCTATCACCGTTTTTCAAAGTACCTCATGGTCACTTCAGCTGCACGTTCTAATACACTGTATTACTTACTCTGTGCTGGTAACCTTCCTGTACCCTCTTTACTCGCTCGTCCGGAACTTCGTGATCGAGTCTGATGATCTCTTGCGCTGGATCGATACAGCCTATCTCGGCAAGCCTGCGGAAGCAAACATTCAAGTAATCACAGTATTCACGGCGCGCAGCATAACCTTTTCCTGTAGGCTGCCTGCTCAGAACATGCACGATCAGGTACGACCCCGTTTCAGGTGTGGCGGGAGCAATTCAGGATGCTTGGCTACCGGCTTCGTCACCGTACTCTGGAGGTTTCAGGTCTTCTCTACTGCTCCTGCGTTGCAGTGGAATGCCCTTTCTCGGCCGAACCTGAACTTTTCTCTCTTTCGGTGGGCCTAATCTCTGTCTGCTTTAAGCACCAATCAGAATCTGGACGGACATAATCGTGACGTGGCCCAGAATATATCGAATCTGGCGAGCCTGCCGCCTGTCCGCATTCCAATTTGCGCCCAGTCGACCTGTCTCACATGTAAGTCAGCTCGGTCTCTATGAGAGCATTGTTACGTAGACAGCCCATCACGACCCCCGTCTTATGGCCGCAATCTTGACAGTTGCATGCGGCTCGGATCTGCCGGGAATGAAACCACGTTCGAACATCCTGCCCTCAGCCGTCTAACTGGACCTTAGGATGTTCACGAGTTCTCCTCTACTGAGGCCCTGCATGCGTTTCTAGTGCCGTTTGTGCCCCTGTTGGGCCGGATCCTCTCCCGGCGTGCAGCCCGTGACCAGTGTTCGGATATCCTGACCTCTGAGGCTGTTTGTGGGGTGCATACTTGTTCTGCCGTACATTTTGATGTTGACAGATGGGCCGAGCCTTTGGCCCACTCCTTGCTTCTTTTGTATACCTCGAACGATTGCGCCCTAGCCTCGTATACTCTATACATGTCCTGAATGGCAACCCCTAGGTCGCTTGTGTTATATTTCTCCTTTTTCAAGTAGAACCCGTTCCATTCCATCCTTCTTTTTACCCACATTATCTACAGCTCTCATTCACAGTATCTTTAGCCTATCCGCGCTACTCCCACCAGACTACGCGTCCCCTAGCGTCGGGCAAACACCGAGTTAAATGATTGGCGCCGACGCCACAAAGAATCCGGGTCCTGTCTTCGCGCTTTATTTCGTCATATCTACTCGTGAGTATCAGTCCCAGTGAGTCCTACACCAAACTTTACACAATTTCGTCAAAGCTTGTACAAGGCCAACGGCTGCCTTCTCAAAGAGCTGTTGCAGTAGTTTTATTCGCCTTGTGCTATCGCTGACGGCGGCTCTCAGCAACTTCTGATGGGCATGTTCGACTACTACTGCGAACTCAGAAGTTGACATGCGGCCTCGGTCTTTGGACAATCTTTCGGTACAGTCATTCAGAATACCCTTTACAAATGTCATTCAAAGCGCCCGTTGAGATTCCGAGTCCAGCCGACGCCGACTCGGATTACGCTATAGACGCGGTACGGTGCGACCTCTGTTTCCCCTGCATGTGACGAATCCTGATTGGTTATGTTCTAATCACTTTATCTGAGCAACTGACAACCACGATATTCCCCAGCTTGACTGACGCCTCTTGCAGCCAACGAACCGCTCTCATCTTGTTAGATGTGATCTATGAAGCATAGCATATGCTTAC